TATGGCGAGCTCCGTTAATTGCCTATAGATGGAAACTGACCCAGTAGCTACGTCTTCTCTCCTAAGTAATAATTTGTTTTTTGTTTTTTTCTGCCACATCTATCATTTTGGAAGTCAATGGAGCATTGACTGTGTTCACTTTTTGTTTGCAATCTTTGCTCTTTGCTGCTGTAACACTGTAAATTTCCCCGTTGAGGGATAAATAAAGGATTATCTTATTATTAAGCTATAAAGATGTGTTGCAGAAAAACTGAAGATCCAAAATTAAATGTATTAGGACAGATCGTGTTCTGAAGAAGATCATCTGATATGACTGAAAGCCCCAGGAAGTCGTCTTAAAAAGACTTTGGGATGACCTTATTTTGTAGACTCATGACTCTTTCTTCCCCCCTCCACTGATTTTGTCTCCATGCAGCTGAACTTTCGGTTGAATCTAGTCGAACATTTCTGAAGAGAAACTAACCAAGTGTCCAAGAAAAGGAAACTAAATGAAATGTTTTAGCCGTACTTCCAGTAAGTCCCTGTGCGATGTCCTTTGTTTCTATCAAAGATCTTCATTTGTTTATCGGTCACCATCGGCCTTATCACGAGCGTGGGAGGGAGAGGAGAGAGGAAGACGAAGCTCCAGAGAGGAGAGGTGTTGTCGACAAGCCTTCCAAACAACACCATCCCCCCACAGAGACGCCTCGGCCTCCTGCTCCCTCCCTCCGTCTTTAACTACGTCCACTTTTTTTTTGCTCTCACTCACAAGTCTCACCTTTCTTTATTATTTCCTCTTTTTTTTTTTAATTTCTCTCTTTAGAAATATTTCACTCTTAATAATCCCGAGCATCTACTACCGCTCCTTTCCCCACACATCTCCCTCCATCTAGAACAGCTGAGGCTTTAACAACATTTGGTCCATCCATCAGGGCACAGCCAGCTTTGATCAATAAGCACTCTGAGTCCACTCCACAGCACCGCACTGAACTTAAAATGTCTCCCGTCTGTCTCTGTCAGTACTTATCTCTGTGCTGACAAAGCCATATTAGACGCAGGGATGTGGACGACTGTTACAAGAGATTTCATGAAGCATATGTTGCTCTGTGTCGTATGTGCTGTGAATAAAAATACACTGCAGTGATATAGATATTTAAGGTATTTAAAGGAGTTTTTAAATCCCCTCTACTCTCATAACATGACGGTGTCAGTCAGAGTAAGTGGAGGTGTATCTCAAGCATGGCTGCCCCTTTTCGTTTTTCTTTTTTTTCCAAGTTAAAGATGTCAAACGTAAATTAAAAACAGATGTGGTCTCTTAACACGTGCCGCAATTCAAAAGTCAACCCCCCCCCCAACCCACCCTCTTTATATCCTGTCTGGAATCACATGTAACAGCTCTTACTTTAGATGTAACAAGACAGACAAATGGGTGAAAAACCACATGAGAGTATTTGTTTCATTCACTTGAAATGTGAGGCAACTTTTCAAATGTGTACAGTAAATTATTTTTATTATACAGAGAGAGAGAGAAAGAGAAAGGGGTGATTCACAAGTAAATTGTGTCACTTTCAAAAGTGGAAATTTGGGGATTTCTTTGTGCTAACTTGTGCTTTTCTGTCACATGGATTATCGTCATGTGCTACTTTCTTTTTTTTTTTTTTTTTTTTTTTTTAATTGTCAGGAGTTTTCCGATACTGTGCAGAAACAACACCATACTGTTGAGTCATGCTTCAAAATCAGGGACGGAAAAAACAAGAGAGAGGTTGTGGAAATAAAGTTCAAGGAAATCAAATCGTCAGCACAAACTCTTTTTCTTTCAGCTTACACAAAAAGGTGGAGTAACTGTGAGGAGCCCCAACGCTCATAGCTCAAGGACTTTTCCTTATCTGTGAAGGGTTATTATTAGTGTAGACATAAACAGTGTAAAGCTAGGCGTATACGCTAACAACAGCATGCTAACAAGCGAACAATATCTTATTAGTTTGTTGGTATGCTAATGTTTGCTAGTTGCTAAGTATGAGACAACTGATTTATAAAGCTAAATAAAATATGATCAAAAAACAATTTATGCCATTTCCCATTTCCTGTTTTATTTAAAGGCACAGTTTTTCATTTCTACCACTAGGGGTCAGTCAAAACCATAAACAGAGGCGTGGGATCATGAGAGCTGTTGCCTCCATTGTTAAACAACCATCACCTTCAAAAAATGCTAATCTTTATGAAGAGGCTAATGTATAAAGTTATGATCATGTTATGTTGAGACGTGCTTTTTTTTACTTTGTCATTTTGATCCAAGAGCTACTTTAATGTTGGCTTACGTAGCGAGTTAGCAGGTTAGCTTCCTCAGTGTCTGATGTTTCTGTTGTGTAAAGCACCGCTGTATTTCTCTTGGATTGAACAATATCACAAACATCTTCAAGACCTCGGCAGTGCTCAGGAAGTGCTCTGGCACCTCTCCAGCTACCAGACCAACTTCCATTTTATGGTCCACATCGGGACATGAACCAGCGACCCTCCAGTCCCCGACCCAAGTCCCTATGAACTGAGCTGCCAACCTGGGGTCCAGGCCCCCCCATAAGGGTGCCAAAGCGCTCAGTGTGGGCCAAAGAATCTAGCCTTTTTTTTACATAACAGCAAAGTTATGAAGCTTCATCATCATACATTTCTGTACTTTCACATTGATTCCTCTGCGTTCTGAAACACGACATGTAAAGATAGAACAGGGGCTTCACAGACACACACACAGACATGCACACACACACTTCGTAAATTAATGTTAAAGGTAAGACACCACAGGGGGGTAAATATCACGCCCTGAACAGGCAACCGAATAGTCTCTGCCTGTGTTTAGTTCGTCAAGATTTTTCCTATCCTAATGTTCACAGTTACTGGATAGTTTATTCAGAGGTGTGTAGATGAATGTGTGTTTGAATGAAATCAATGAAATCTATATGAACTTCTTTCAATAAGTGTATCACTTTTATTTACAATTGTATTAATTTATTATGTGTTTTATTATAAATAAAAAAAGAGTTGTTCTATCCAGACGTGGATGTGTAAGTGTACACCGTGCTGCTGACTAATAAACATTATTTAATAATGGGCAATTTTTTTTTGTCCTTAGTCCGCAAGCTTTGAAGTCACATTTTGGTTGTCTGGGCAACAATGGGTTACAACATAATAATGTTTAGTCATGCTTACATTTCTGGACTAAAATGAGGAACAGAGAAGATGTAAGCATCAGCACTAAACAGTGACAGTGAGGTTGAAGTTCAGTTAGTTTTCCCTCCTAAATGATTACCTAGATGTGGATCCTGCTGCTCCTTTTATCAAATCTGAAGGATTATTTTCATTGTCAAAAAAGGTAAGAGTATGTGACTCAAAAAACAAGAAAAAGAAAGAAAAACTATTTCTGAACTCACTTTCTTCTTTACCTTTTCTCTTCTAGATGTTGTCTTGATCTTAATGGTTTAAAATGTGTTTATAAATCGGCTTTAATTCAATAAAACGACTGCTTAACAACCCTCATGTTTCACTTTCTTTATAATCCTTGAGTCTGTCCTGCTCTGCTAAGCTGCTCACTGCTGGCTGTACAGACAGAGAGCATGGCTGATGCAATATTTACAGCCTGTTGTGTTCATCTAAATGTGCATCTAAACATCATTAAGCAGGAAACAACACGCACAGTATCACCTGTTATGGAGACAGAAAGCTGAGCAGACAGGGAGTCCACACTTAAAGTCAGGAAAAGTCAAATCCCATCAGAACTTATACATCTCTTTATTAAACAATCTTTGTGGCTTCAGTTTAGCTTCAATCCAAATGAATATTTCCCCATTCTGTTGGTCGTGTGTGTGTACAAAAGCTTCGAGGACTTTAGCCCTACATCCTGTGGTTTTCTGCTGCAGTGTGGACTTAAAACCACAAAATTGCAAGAATGCATATCCCTGCACTGATTTACATCAGGTTTTTTTTTTGGTGCTCAGTTTTATTGTAAAAGTCTCCTGCAGAGGTAGTGCCACTGTGTTTCCTGCTTGTCAAACAGAGAGGCAGAGACATGAAATGAGGTAAACAAGTTCTTGAGTTTGTCTGGGCACAGAAAGAAAAACATGTCAGGGACTTTCGTGCCAGGGCAGGTTTTTATGAATGGAAGTTTTTTTTCCCCCCCTCCAAACTTTCCCTCTCTCTCTTTTTTGTGAATGAAAAACAACTGGAAAATCCAGTATAAAAGCCCCGCAGCCTTGCCGGGACGTGATTGGCTCGTGTGGCGCGAGCTCCGCCCCACGGTTGCTAGGATCCCGACGACCGGGCCTGTGATTGGCTCGCGGAGGGAACCGAGACTTCATTCATAAGTCAGTGTATTCAACAGGACAAAAGAGGAGAAATTCGAGCCCTTGAAAGAGGAAATGCACCAATCACGAGCTCCGTCTGGCTCCAGCGAGAAAAAGCAAAGTCTCGCTTTTATCGCCAAAATCACGTCTGCTTGAGAAATGACAGCACAGCTGGGGCCCAAAAAGTCACCACATTTCAAATAAAACTCGCTCAAAAATCGCCATTAACCGCGTGTGTCGCTTATTTCTTTTTGAATATGTTTTTTATTTTTTTGGGTTCTGTGACTGCACTCAAACGCAACATCTGTTTCCCGTCACAGTTTGAAGCGGCTGGAAAGTGGAGCCTTCATGGTGATCCGTGGGCAGACGTGGCAAAAAGCCCAAAAAAAAAAAAAAACGGGCTACTAAATAACACTCATAACTCATACACTCTCCATGACCCTTATTGCGTGTTTTTTAAAACCAGAAAAACACGATTTAAAACGCAAAAAAAATCACTCCCACAGTCCCTCCAGCTGCAAAAATCTGCGTAAATGAAGTGCCTGAGGTGTTAAACTTGATTCACCTGAACTCCAAACACGACGAGACGAGCTGTCTGTCACACACACACAAAAAAGAGATTTGTAAAGGAGGGCAGCAGCCCGCTGGGTAATCACTCGCCATCACTTCCCCTCGGTATTTTTTTTTTTGTGAATGGAGCTCATTATGCATGCAGCCTCCACGCAGCTCCATTCACAAGCAGCGCTCCCCTCCTCTCCGTTTGCAAGGCTTGCGTGGATCGCACTCAACTCAAGCCTAAATGACCACAAACGGTTAACGGATGGATTATAAGATGGACGGATATTTGGACCAGCAAGTGCCTTACACTTTAGCAAATGTACGTATGGATGAACTGTGATTGTTTGTGACTTTAAACGCTCGTTCTTTTTTCTTTTTTTAGCTCTCTTTTTTTCAATGACTCCTCCGCTGCTGCTGCTGCTGCTGCTGCTACCGGGCTTTATCCGTCTCCGCGTCGCGTCTGCACGAGTTTTTGCCCCGAAAGCAACTGCATGTCTATGTAGTGCTGCGATAAGAAAAGTAACATTTCTCTCCAGGGTTTTTCCACGCAAAGTATTCACAGCGTTGTGAGTTCTGCATTTCCTAACGTTTAAAAACGAGGTTCACTCTGGTGCGCTGGGTGGAAGTGACAAAGTGTGCCAAATGGTCACTTTCTTCAGACGCAAAACAGCGCGTTTGTTTTTGCCTCCACAGCTGAGCAATGTGTTGTTTTCTAAGGTTGTTCACGTTCACAGAAAGCTGCAGTAGTCCCAACATTCGTATAGGTAACTAAAAGTGTTAGTAGAATTTGTCATGAATATCACTTCTGGGTTCATTTTTGCAAAGTGTTTTTTTTTCTGCTGTTTCTCTCCCCCCCCCCCCCCTCCTCCACATGCCATATTAAAAATGCCATTAGCTCCTCTGACACTGATGTTCTACAAATGCCCTGTTGGGAGTCTGTTTTTCTCACTTCTCCTCTCTTTGCATGTTTGCGTTTTTTGCAGAAGTCGCATGGAAATGGGCCCCTAAATAGACTGTTGATGGCAGCGAAAAGGAAATACATGGACACAGAATTGCCCCCTCAGGAATCTGAAGGTAAAGTACAGTGGGAGATCTGCTCTCTTTTTTACATGACGAATGTTTACATCAGTGTCTATCAACCCCAGGCCATGGCATCCCCTGGGTCTCATTTTACTACATTTTAAATACAAAGGATGAAACCAGTATTAGTAAGTTGTAACTGTGGTCTGTCACTGTGCACTCATTACACTTTTCTTTTCATCTCCCTGATCAGACCTCTTCCAGGATTTAAGCCAACTCCAGGAGACATGGCTCACAGAAGGTGAGTCGTGCCTTAAGGCTGCTTTTTACTCCTCTTTGGTGGTGTTTCACGATTTAGAGCAATCATGAGGCTTCATGATGTGTCTGTCTGCAACCTTTGGTTTACAAAGAGTGGCACCTTAAATAAATCAAATACAGCTTGATATCTTCTTTAAATGTAAAGGAAGTATCCACATTTGCTGCTTTCAGTCTTTAAAAAAAAGCTGCATTTGTGACTATTTTTTTTTACATTTGTATCTGTATTTTTTATATTTTAAGGTTTCTGGGTAGAAATGTGAAAATGAAACCGAAAAATAAGACGAATCTCCTATTTTATTCAAATAATACAGATTTATATGTAGTATAGATGCTGCTTTCCATCTCCTGTACATATCAGAATATGAGAATAATTCAGTAAAAAGTGGACAAAATAGAAGATAAAAGACTATTTGTCTCTTTTATTTGGGTTTCTGGATATATTAGTGAGGAAGAATCATAAAAATGTAAACAAACACAGTTTATTATCTTCTGTTTTATTCAGCTTGTAAGAAGTTTGCACATATGCTTCTCTTCATGGAGGACAAGCAGCACATGTTTAGAACTCCAGAGAAGTCGAATGAAATGGAAGTTAATATTCTGTATTTGTATATTCTTATTTTGGGGGATTCCCGATGAATCTTTGGAAATACAACACACACAAGATCTTTTATCTTCTGTTGTCGTCCACTTTGAGGGAATTTGCACATGTGCTGCTTTTCATCTGCGAGTCAGGGTCGAAATCCTTAAAGGCTGAATTAAATATAAAAAATGTTTACTGTTTGTCTCATTTTTTAAAGTTTCTGGATAAATCAGTAAACAGGAAACCCTAAAAAAAAAAAAAAACAGTCTACAAACTTATTGTGCACATTTTCCTGATTTCAGTCGTCCCTGAAAATGTTTTTTTTTTAAATCCCAAATTCTCTGATTTGCACATCTGCTTTTAGGCTGCATCAGTTGACAGTGTGACTATAAAAGCTTTCAATGCACTTCTATTCAAATGCTTCAAAAAATGGAGAAAAGTTGACTCTCTAAGTCGAGCTAAGAGTCCCCAAAACTTTCTGATGCATCCCACGTAGTCATAAAACACACAGAAGAGAAAAAAAAGGGGGAGGCCATGGAGAGCACAGACGGGACATTATTAGCTTTGAGCATGTCCTATTTTGGCCATGTTGGCATGTAGCGTGCGTGCCAGCCTGCAGCCAATGCAAACAAACTGCTTATTTGGCCCATGTCACTCAAAGGCACATAGCGATGAAATGAGGCCCCAGTCAGAGGCAATTGTCAGCTAGTAGACTTTAATAAGTGCGATGATGATGTGAGCCCTAATAGAGTAATTATACTGTACGTCAGGCGAGTGGGGGAAACAACACTGTGTGAGTCACCAGTGTGTGTGTCTGTTTGTGTGCTGCTTTTTAAACCTGCAGCAGGACAGTGAGGGTCTGAGTGTGCGAGGCAGAGTGGGGAGAAGTGCAGCAAGAGGTGTGAACTCAGTTTGTGTCGCTCTGCTCTGATGTGCTTTAAAGGGAAATGCCACTCTTTTTTTTTTAGATTAATGTGATCAGTCCGGTGAGAAGTCAAACCCTCCAAACAGAAATGGTGTGCTTGTTGTCTCCTGTGCAGAATGATGATCTGTTTTAACCAGAATTCAGAGTTTTAAATGTGAATGTACAAGCAGGTTTTTGTCAGATAATCCAAAATATGAAAGGAAATTCATTTTCATGATGATTAATCCCTTTTTAAAACTTAAATGTCACTACCTTAGAGCATGTTTGCTGTAGGAGTGATTGGTGGAAGTCTGCAGCCTTAATTTGAACAAACACAATCATGCAATATGTTGTATTGGTCATGACCTACAGTATGTGTATGACCTGATGTGTTCTCTTTATTGAATCAGTGAAGTCTTGGTCCAGGAGGCAGCTTAAAGACAAGTGAGGTGTAGGAAGTTAAAGTTGAACATTGACATCATTTAGCATAGGGTAGTAGTTGAGCTATATCGCATATCCAAATATTTTAGATCCTTTATGTCCAAAGAGTAAACAACTTAAAAAAACATTTTATTTTTTACATATATTTCTATTACTCATATCTTGAGTAGGGCTGCTGAGTTAATCGTTAATCGGCCGTTATCAAGAAACGAGCATTTTGCAAAAGTCAGAATTTATCACGATAAGTAAGATAATTTAATTCAATGCTTTCTCACTTAGCATGCGTTCATTTAACTTTTTGTTTGGAGGCCTGGGTGTAAGGATCTTTCTTTCACTCTAGTTTGAAGCAGTCAGATACTAGCTAGCAGCTACACTCGGATTAACTTGTGCCAGTTTGAATGTTTTGGATCTATTCTGGATTCAGGAGAGACGTATTGAAATCACTAGTATAATGTCAAAAATGAAGAACAGCAGATAGAGAGAGAAAATTGAGAGTTATAAACAATCTGAAATTTTGTTAATTTAGCGCCTTTCAGATATCATTATCATAAATTTTAGCAATGTTTTAAACTTTTTTTTACCGAAAATGGATGCCACTTTGATTTATCAATAAGAGCTCATGAACCATATACACTGTCTCTGTTGCTTGTAGCTGATTAAAGTAAAAGTCTGTTAAGGATCCTCATGGCTGTATTCATTTAAAATCCCAATAATGTGGTGTTTCCATCAGACCCATGGACACTGGCTGAGCAACATAAACATGAAGACAACAAAAGTAGGTTTAAATATGAGATATTCCATCCATGATCTTTTACCACTTTTTCCAAACCGTTTGGGGTCACATGGGGGGCAGGAGCTGATCCAGCTGTCATTGGTGGAGAGGCAGGGTACACCCTGGACTGGTTCAATATGGGATATTGAAAAGATTAAATGTATTTTTTAGAGTACGTAAGACTTTTTATCTAAAGGTCTGAATGGAAAAGATGAGGCATACATGTTCTCTGGTTAAGTGGTGGTAGTGCATAAGTGGTGCTCAGTTTTGTGAAATCATAAGAAGTTGCTCCTTCTAAGAATGGTTTAGTCACTGTTGTGTTGCGCTCGTCATGCAAAGAACACTTCAGGTCAGCAAACTGTGAGGAAGTGAGGACGTTACAATCAGAGACACGCCGTGGCTGTCTTTGTGTCTGGCTTGAGATTTAAATACAGCCCACTCCTGTTAATGTCAAACAATGCTGCCTCCACGTTAGCCTTCTCACCTTTTCTCATGCAGCGTCAAAGAGCCGGCAAGTTCACTTCACACCCTCGTCTCACTCACACACAGACACAGACAGACACACACACACACACACACACACACACACACACACACACACACACACACACACAGACACAGACACAGACAAAGACAAGAGAGACAGAGCCAATAAAAGTGTTACAATAGGTGTCGCTTCAAAGTTTGCAGCCCATTTGTATTCACAAGATTGCACTGTTAAAGATACTCTTGAAGGTTCAAGTCCCCAAAATAAACCCAAAGTTTCTCACTTTCCTCTCGTATGATGAAGTCTAACATGGGTATGAGTGGTGAAAGTAAACATTAAGACAGAATGGATAGTTATTTTAAAGAGTAGTCATTGGAAAAAAAGGACATTGTTTCTTATTAATTATTTTTTAAAGCTGCTTAAACACATTTCTAACCTATTGTAAAGTATTATTTTTATGGGTTTTTTGTGCCTTTGTTGGAGAGACAGGAAAATGGATAAAGTCAGAAATCAGGGAGAGAGAGTGTGGGGTCAGATTCAAACCTGGGCTGCCCACTTGGACGACTTTAGCCTCCATACACTAACCACTTCACTGTCAGCGCCCCATATAGAGTCTAAAATCCCATATTTGATCCTGGTTTTATTTACCATGCAGGCTGAGATATTAGCTTTAAAATGCAAAACAGCCTCCGCTCAAGTTGAAGAGATTTTTAGCTCGTGGTGCTCAAAGATTTTACCAAAATGCATTCAAAAGAATTTGTGAAAAACAAAGTTTAACTAATTCAGAATAATCATCATTTAAAGTGCAGTCCTGCCTTAAAACAAGCTTAAAACCAACCATGACCATTTATTCTGCTTGGGTGAGGGGACCCCCAATTTAAGAAGTTGCCCTTTAGTGAAAACAGGGTGTTGGTGTCCAATTTCAAATAAAAAATGTAAAAAATAAAAAATAAAAAAATAAATGAGAAATTAATAATTACTCAACTTTCTTTTATCAGTTTTCTCCAAGTTCTACTTTTATCAAAGACAAATGCTCCTCTGAAAAGGGAAGGGAGTATGAGACACTGATTCTTGAGAGAAAGCTTCTTGTTTTGATCTAAAAATATTTATTCTTGTTGATTTAAATTGGTACAAGAATCACAATTTATGTTCCTTTCAGCCCCATTGGTTTGAGTCTGCAGAGGAAATCATTGAGACAGAAAGCCCTAAATAAAAATAAAACCAAAACCAAAACCAAAAACTCCATGGCCAGACTCGACTGCAAATAAGTCAATCTCATTTGTGTAATTATGGTGAATCAAGCCTTTAAAAAGAGACATTAGTTCATGTACTTTGTTTAAAAATTGAGTGGCAGATTATTGTTGAGTCACAGGGAGAGAAGACGGTGTAAAAAAAGAAAAAGGAGGGGGGAGGAAGATGGAAGTGTACCTTCACTATCAAAGTGTTATTTAACCCTAAGTACTGGCTTGTTTTCAGCTTCCCCAGCTAAGACCTCTCCTTTCCTGTTGCATTAATTAAAGACCTGATCATGACTGATTGCAGTTGTGAGGGATTCACCGAGATTGCAAAAAAGCCGGGTAGCTGGAGGGAGTTTCTTTTTCATTTTTTTCCTGTCAAAGGAGAGCGGAAGCGAGTGAGAGACAGAAAGGGTGAAGCGCTGAATGGCAAGAGTTCAGGAGCTTGTCACATCTTGTCTCATTTTTTGGCCTTTAGGTTTATAGGACTGCGGCTGCTTAGCTCCGCCCAGGATCTCCCACTGAGAGAGAAAAAAAAAAAAAGTCATTCAAGGTGCCTGGAAGCATCGGGGAGAACATGCGTCTGTGCTCGAATAAACACACTTTCCTTCTTGTGCTGACTTGCATCTCAAAGCCCCTGACGACGTGTTCCTGGAAACAAATCATACACACACACACACACACACACACACACACACACACACACACACACACACACACACACACACACACACACACACACACACACACACACAGGAAAGTGTACAGACACACACTTTGTTCGAGATGAAGTCTGATGCTCGACCGTATGTGTCTCTGCTCCTCTTTATGAGGTCCAGCATGTTCCCTTTTGGACATGTTGAAACTAGCAGAAATGATTGATCGTTGGGTCTTGCAGAACTAAATATCGGCTCCTGCTCTGTCTCAGACAGCAGCCATATTTCTCCGTCCCCGAGGGCGAAAGGCAGAAAAGTTAAAAGGGCGTAATATTATTATGGTATAGTAGGCCACAGGATGGAGCATTATATAAGAAATCGATGTAATTTATCTGAACATGCTCTGAAACGCTGTCATCCGGTTTCCTCTGTACAGGAAGGAGGAGTGTGACGACAAGAAAGTAGATTTGGATGTCTTATTTCCTCTTTTTTGTCTCTCGAGCTCTCTGGAGTTTTGGTTTCTGTGTTGTGTGGCATTGATTTCAAAATAAAACGTTGGATGAAGGAAGAGAAAAGACAGCTGAGGTTGAATTTTGAGACAGAGTTAGATGGTTGGACGAGGTTACGCTGACATCCTTCTGATGTAAAGTTACATAAGAACATCTTCTTTTGGGGCCAAAATAGCCAAGTCAGGGGTGCCTGTAGTTTAGCGGTTAGTGTGCCCACCCTATGTACAGAGGCTTAAGTCCTCGAGAGGGGGCGGCTCGGTTCAAATCCGACCTGTGGCTCCTTTCCTGCATTTCTGCAAAAAACACAAAGACAACATAATAAAGGTTGAAACAGAGAAATGTCATTGTAGTTGTGGAAATGATACGCTAATTTAAAATTTAGAAAAGGTTGGGACAGGGTCACATTTACCAACCCGTACCTCCTCTTTGAACCACTCTAAGCGTTTTGGAAACTGAGGAGACCAGCTTCTTTTATTTTGAAAGTCGAATGTTCTTGTTGTATTTTACGTGTCATACTGCGCCAGACATTTATACCTAAGCATGTTACTAGCTTAATAAATTAACCTAAATAATTTAAGCATTTTATAACTTTAGCAGGCTCTTTTTTTTTTGCATAAAATTCTCAATGGGAATTTATTTTTCCAAAAGCAATGACATAAATCTGTTCAACATTTCATATGTTGTCTCTGTGTTATTTTTAATTTAATGCAGAGTTTCAGTAATCCCATTTACAATCACATGTTTTTATTTACATGTTACACAACATCCGTACCCTTAAGGATAATAATTAATTTCTATTATTTATTGGGGAAAATTGGGAATGTTGGTCCTTTTATCCATTTTCAGTAAGTGCAAGGTGCTAAAGCCCTCACAGTATGGTACCAATTTATTTTGCAGCCCATTTGCCCCTGATTGAGTGCATGTTATTTAATGATGCCCATCAACTTTTCCCTACCAGTTGGCCCATACCATGACGTAAGTGTTAGTCCCAGGCAATGGAAACTCTTTAAAACCCAAAGAAACCTGTAGAGATGGACTTGTGCCAGATTGAAAGGTTGCTAGCTCTGGTTCTGCTTTTACTTTTAAGGGTCATTAAATCAAAAGGTATAGTGCCGACCAAATACCAATGACTGTTGGTGAATTTGACCTCCGAGCCGCTGTTGGCAGTCAAATGTTTTTGGCTTTTCCAAACTGTTTGTGTAACGCGATGTCTAAAGCTCGGAAAGCACAATTGTGAATGGGTTTGGATTCCTAAAAAAAAAAGAGCTGCACAATGGTGTCTGTCTAGCTGAGCTGCACCTGGGCTTGGCAATGCTGACTCGGGTTTTTCTCTTCGATCCTAGAGGAGGTTCATTATGAGAGAGTGGCACTGAAATGGATACCAAAGCCGGTCATTATGTATCAGATCAAGATATCACGAGTGTACATATCATTGACTCTTTTCTCAAGTCATTGTAGGTTGGCTGTATATCGTCTCTGTGGGACTCTGAACCCGATATATAATGTATGTTGAGCTATGAAATGTTTCTTAAAAGGAAAAGTAGTGGGATTAAATCTAGTAGAGAACACTAATTCAAAGCAGATTGTCGCCACTTGACAAGAAGATCTACGTAAGTGTTTTAACCTTAACTTGCCCTCGTTTCACTCCCCCACATCTCCACTTCATTCATGTCTGCCTTCCTTGTTTTATTTCCGCTTGTATCTATCCATTCCTCATTTACGCAGCAGATGAAGTCCAGACTTCTTTAACAATGGAAGACAGAGTCCCTAACTCTTAAGGGCAGAGAGAAGTTCAATCTCTTCACAGCATTGACAGATTTCCACAGTTGTTTAGCCAGAATAGCCAGTTTCAGTCTGTCTTGATCCTTAAGATGGAACTAAAAGGAACTGACTAACGGCTGGTTGCACCCCTATGACTGTTGGTGTACAACTGTCTGAACATAAGAGGTCAAGAATGAAATCACGGGATGTATTGTATGTAGTATTATGTCAGACAAAAGATCGCCTGGGGAACAATGTAACGTACAACGTAACGTACAACGTAACGTACAACGTAACGTACAACGTAACGTACAACGTAACGTACAACGTAACATACAACGTAATGTACAATGTTACGTACAACTTAATGTGTAATGTACAACACAACGTACAATGTAACGTACAACGTAACGTACAACGTAATGTACAACGTAACGTGTAACATACAACGTAAAACGTAATGTACAATGTTACGTACAACGTAGCGTAAAACATAACGTGTAATGTACAACGTAACACATCGTAACGTAACACATCGTAACGTAACACATCGTAACGTAACCTATAACATAAAGTACAACATACAACTTGATGTACAACTTGACGTACGACGTGACGTAACACATCGTAACGTAACACATCGTAACGTAACACATCACAACGTAACCTACAACATAAAGTACAACATACAACGTGACGTACAACGTGACGTACAACGTGACGTACGACGTGACGTAACGTACGACGTGACGTAACGTACGACGTGACGTAACACGACGTGACGTAACACGACATGACATAACACGACATGACGTAACACGACATGACTTAACACGACATGACGTAACACGACATGACGTAACACGACATGACGTAACATGACATGACGTAACACAACGCTAAGCCCAACGTAACACATCGTATCACATGACATCGTTTCGTAATCTATGACTGTAATGTATCACAGACTGTAACGGTATAATTCAGTGTGGTATCATTTTATTGAGTACAGTTTCACATCGTATATTCCATGATTTAATTTTACGGTGGAGTATCATTAAAGAACAGTACTGCATCCTATAGTATTGTATCGTATGATTTAAACTGGATTTGGATCTAAATTCTTCAGAGATCTGTAAACTGCTACAGAAACAAGCTGGCAGCTGAACATCTTTGATGCCTCTCAGGAGCTTTATGTTCTTGTGTATTGATCTCTGGGTGAACAAAGCACCGACATACTGCAAAGAAATCAGGAAGTGAAGGTCGCCTGAAAGAGGCCGAGCCTCGCTCTAATTTCAGAGAGAAGAAGGGAGGAAATGAAAGACAGAGAAAGGTCAGATTTAGTCTGAATAATAATAATACGATTTTAAAGCTGTTTTTTTCTTTTCTTTTCTTATTTCAGCTCAGGTTCCGGACAGTGATGAACAATTTGTTCCCGACTTCCACTCCGAGAACTGTGAGTACCCCACTTCCATTCACTGTGTCCTTTCAATGCATGAATGTAAATGCACTGTGTGTATGTGTGTTTGTGTGCGTGTGTGTGTTTCTTTGTCTCAATGTGGTTTCCTACCAAAGGAAATCAGATTTTCTGACCATACATTGCACTGATTAGATCTTTTTCTAAATGTACATTCGATCAGGTATTCATCTACGCAGCATTCAGAGGTGTGCGTAATCATTGGCCCAAGCATGTTTCCTATTTGACGATTGGGCCTGTTCATGTAATTCCAGCTGAAGTCTGCACGTCATGAGAAAGCGAGGAAGAAACCAGCGGTTAGATTTTGTGCTGTGAGACCGCCAGGGGCTTATGTAGGGATACTCTAACCCGCTGATGTTACAGTAATCTCTTTGGCAGACAAAGCTGTGCAGAAACAGAAGGCCTAATGAGAGCCGGTCATCATGAGGTGAATTTGGGCGCAGACATTGTGTGCTGCCGTCATCCATTTGCATCCCTTTGAAAAGCTTGAATGGGTACGCCTCAGGAAACCAGTAAAAAAAATGATTCAGGGCGCAGGTACAAAGATTGGCCTTTGTGTACATCGGAAGGTGTAAAATGGAAAAAGCAAATTCCTGGGCTGCACAACTGAGCGGCTATTTGAATGCGTTTCCCTTTTCTTGTTGTGTGTCTTAACAATGGCGGTTCAGGATCTGGGTGGGTGGGGGGGGACGTGTTGCTCTACAAACACTTTTTTTTTCTGCCCCATTGAACTCGCAACGGGCTCCTCCAATCTTTTAGCCATGACTCTGAAATGGTTTTTGAACCCTAAAGAGAGCTTGAAACGCCTCCAAGAATAATCTCGAGCGCAAAGTAAAAGTGACAGCTTTCAGTTGCAGTCAAAGGCGCTTCCTTTCACTGAAGCCCCCGTGTGTGTCCTTTGTGTGTGTAAACATCGTGTGATTCAACCAGCTCCGCGTCACAACTGCTCGGCCGCTCGGTGACACATGCCCCCTGTGCGAGATCGTCGCTGTCTTGCCGTTCCAACAATGCGGTTGGAGGAAGCGCAGATGAACCCCGGGGCACACAGAGGTCGTGTCTACTTAACCCCACTGACCTGTCAGCCAATCAGCTGTCAGGCCTTTTGCTAACGCTTGAGCAGGGTATGATTTGCAGGGTCATGGGGGCTTCGGTTTGACGGGCAGCTCACTTATCCGCAGCAGAGACACTCCTGCTTTGACAGACAGTGTCCCCGCTGGCCTCAGTCAATAGCCGCGGAGTCCAGTAAGAGCATCTCTATTCAGCTTTGATTTATGGGAAATTGAGGCTGACAGGCGCCTATAAATATATTCATCATTGTGTCTATCAAAGGCGTACAAAGGCGTGAGTTTTCCCATGCTGAACATGAACAGAAGGCATCTGGTGTACTTTTTAAAAAACAAGTGACTCACCTGTTTTGAAACTTTACAGCACACAAAAAAAAAAAAAACACATAAAGCAAAGCTCTAATCCCAGGTGACCGGAATATAATTGAAGCTTTTATTGAAAACAGCTCCCTGGTAAAAATTAAACATTGTTGTTTACTGACTCAGGTTGTTACCTGCATGGGTGTGGTGTTGTCGGATAGAGAGAGAGAGAGAGAGAGAGAGAGAGAGAGAGAGAGAGAGAGAGGGAGAGGGAGAGGAAAACAGGAAAAATAAAAAGAGTGTAACAGAGAAAGACGGGAGGCTAGAAAACAAGGGGACAAGCTGGAATGCTAGATTAGAGGAAAGAAAAGGAGGGGGCAAAAAAAAAAGGAAGGATTGTGCAATACCTGCACATCTGGTAAATCTATCTCATCTGGTCCCTCAGTTTACGGCTAACAAGCGCGCTCTGTCTGCGGGCTGCCATTGCGGGAAGGTTATGCAAACATGCAGCTTTAATGTACTCGCTGAACTTGCCCTAATAGTAATCGAGCCATTGGTGATAACATTGCACCTTTTCTTTTCTTGTTCTTCCTTTTTCTTTTTTTTTTCATTGACCTTTTATGATTGGAAGAAGGATGTGATTTTTTTAATCTCGTCAAGAGAAGATGAGGATTAAAGTCGGGTGTTGACAGCACCTCAAGATTTTATCCTCGCCTGACGCTAAAGCAGTCCGACAGACTCCTTTTGTCTGTCTTTCTGCCTGCGGGGGGAAAAGAACACACGGGAGGTGTCACTCAAAATTTATGAAGCACATTTAATTAAAAATAGTTTCAACATCTTCTTTGCCTTTTTTTTTTTTGTTTTGTGAGTTTGTCAGAAAGAAGCAGAATGTCTGAGCAGTGAGCGCTTTAGCGAGGCCCCTGCCCTGCGCTTCGAGAGCTCGTTCTTCTTTGTCCAAGTATGTTGTTTACACTTGGAGCAGCTCGAGAGATGTGACCCATTCATAAATTTTCTTCCCTGTGTGCGTAAGAGGAAGTGTGCCTCCCCCTCCCTCCCCCGCCCCCCGCTCCTTCTCTCTCTTTCAGTCCTCCGCTGCTCTCTCCTTCGCTCTTCATTCATAAAAAAGCCCTACAGTACTACAGACCCCCGCCTCTCCCTCTCTCTCCCTCTGACACCCCCTCCTCTCAGAGAGGATTCTCCAAACCCCTCCCTCCCTTCCTGTGTCTCTACAGACTAAGTCGAATTTAAAAATCTGGACTCCCCTCCCCTCCCCTTCACTCCCCTTTACCTTTTCTCTCTACCTCTCTCTTCTGCACACACACACACACACACACACACACACACACACACACACACACACACACACACACACACACACACACGCACACAGACACACACACACACATTTTGAGTGTTCCAAGATGTGGACTAATCCAGCGATGTTGGAGTTGTGTGGGACGATTGTTTAGTTCTGTGCCTTACAGTAATTATATAGGAAGTTGTGGCTCTATAGAACGGCGTTACAGTGCTTTCCAGAGAGTTTAGCAAAGGAGAGAAGACGAAAAAGAGGATCAAATTAAATGTAAAAGTTTACACAAATTCTCTCAATATGGCTCCTTTTTGAAAATTAAATCTTGCTATTTTCTTCTAGATATTTACATGATATATAACTTTTTATTTCTTTGTTTTATTTGCTTTATTTGCAGCGGTTTCTCTTCTTCAAGTCTACTTCAGCATGTAGAGGCTCTGCACATTTATCTGTCATTTTATTATCTAGAACAGGACAAAACATTGTTTAATTTTCCTTTCCTATAATTCCCACGTGGTGTCTTACATAGCTTGTTTTCTTGGGGGAAAAGAAACTAAAAGTAAAATGTATTAAGTGAATTGTTACTCAAGGCAGAGAAAAGCTGCCAGTTTTCAAAGTTTAGAGAGTAAAGGTTCATTAAAGTTTGTGTCTTTCATGCAAAAGTTGCAGAAGAGTAGAAAAAAGTTGCAGAAAAGAACCAAAGAAAAAAGGAAACGAGGAGAGACAGGAAGTCACAAAAAAAAGCAAAGGTGCAGAAACTTTGCTCTGAGAAATGAGAGATTAGAATTTGGTCATCATTTTGAAATGTCAGGTCAGAAGTTTTACAAGAAAAAATCAAAGAAGAGGTACAAGTGACCCGGATGAACCAAAAAGCATGTGAGAAGATTGAACTTGCATTTATTCAATGCAAAAAAGGCTTATTTTTAAATGAATTACATTTCAGGTCAGGAGTTGTAGAGAAAGTCACAAAAGAAAAAAAAGGGAGGTTCCAGTAACCCAGTTGAACCAAATCCTCGCAGCAGTGCGCCTCTCTGGCTCTGTGTGTTCTGCTTTGTCATGAATTCACAGCCTTCCTCTTGTTTGGGTTGTTTTTCTCTGGATCAGAACTGGCCCAATCAGGCCCCCTTATCTGGCACATGGGACCATGGGGTGAACCCCTGCCCCTCCCTTCTCTTTCTCTTTCTCTTCTTCAACTCCCTCTCTCTCCCCCGACAGAGAAACATGCAGCTCTGTGTTCTCCACTTTCCAAAATACAGCTGCTATGCAACAAAGTGCGCAAGAAAACAGCCAGGTGCCTGCCAGATATGCATGGATACCGTCGCTCGCCCGCTCTCTCGCTCGCTCTCAGAGGGGGGGGCGGGGCTTCCTGAAAGACTGTTTGTTGCTCTGTTTTGTTTTGCTCATGGGTAAAATGCTTGATTTCTCTCTTTAAGTGAACACATGATTTCTTTTGACGGCCCCTTGTGCGCACACATAAACACACATGGCATGGTGCACACACACACACACACACATAAACACACACACACACTTCAGCCATGCAGTTTTATGAATGGGCTGGTTGTGAGAGACTGGCTGAGGCAGCACATTGAGTTAAGGGGCGCAAACCTTCATTCATGACATTGGGGGGTACATAACTCAAACATTTACAACACCTAGGAGAGGTGTAGGCTTGTTTTTCTCTCATTCTTTGTCTGACTACACGTCAAGTAAGGCTGTTTTAGTCATGCAGCTGTTGTTCGGTCGTGCAAATTTGGTTGCATTTTCCTTTTTGAGGAAATTTTGGCTTTCAAATCTTTGAATTCCCCAAAGTTTTGAGACTTCTGCTAGAATTTGGTTTTAAGGTTTGGGTTCTAAAAGAAGAATCAGCCTTAAGTTAAAGTGAGTTCACCAAGTTATTCCAGTCACCTTTAGTCCATCAGATCCACTGGAAACGGTTCGTAAAGGCTAAAACATGTGGAGTAATAGGCGTTTAACTCGCTTCCAGTGGGGAAGCAAAAAGCCGTTCTCCTGCGTGTTGATTCAGAACAGCCCTGTCAAAGTCAGGGGGGGCCGCGGGGATTTGAGCCAGGCAGCACAGCCCGAGTGTCAGCAGCATAGCTTTGTGAATGGACGGCAGTGTGTGTTTTATTACAGGAGAGCGAGGGGAGGTGTGTGTGTGTGTTTAGGGAAAAGAGTGAGTGTGTGTGTGTGTGTGTGTGTGTGTGTGTGTGTGTGTGTGTGTGTGTGTGATGGTCACATGTCTGCCTATGCATTACTGAGTCCGTGATGGTGAGTTTACTCCCGACAGGACAGCTCGGCTCTCT